TCTATCTATCTATCTATCTATCTATCTATCTATCTATCTATCTATCTATCTATCTATCTATCTATCTCTTTCTCTTTCTCTCCTCATGCGCTCTCTACTGCTGACAAACAGGAGGTGATCACAACACTCCTTGTAACTCACTAAGTACCTGGTTTTTGGTCAGCTATCTCTTTTTAGTGGGTCACTGGACCAATCCTATGATGGGAAGAAGAATGAAAAGGAGGCTAAGAAAAGTCACAGGCCTAAGCCAAATTCTTCACTCCAAGATTATCAGAAAAAAAAAAATCAAATGGTTTCACCCATGAGTACTTGAATAGCTTAGAATTTGGGTGGAAAATGGTAAGGCTTTCATTGTCAACACACATAGATTGGGTAGGCAACCATGATGATGTCTGTAACCACCCACAAAGGAGCAAATGCCAGCTAGTCCTCTCCTGCCTAGGGATGGGCTTTTGTTCTTTCTCTCTGTCTCTGTCTCTCTCTTTCATACACATGCACATTCACTTACTCACTCACTCACTCACTCACTCACTCACTCACACCCCTGGACCCATTCTAGTTTACCCACAGGTATACAGACCTGGATAAGCTCAGCGGCTGGCTTCCTTCTCTTCTCAAAGTGCTTTTGACGGTGCTGCTCCTGTACCTTGAGTGCCAGTCCTGAGCCAAGGATGCCCTGCAAGGAGACATCAAACCTGGGTCAGCTGCCCTGGGCTCAGGTGCACTGAGCATCCCAGCCTCATTTCTGGGGTAGCAGAGAACGTGTGGTTCAATGACATTCTGGAGCCCGGGTTAGCATTTGAATGTGAAATGTCACCCACAGGTTCATGTGATTGAACCCTTGGTCCTTATCTGATGGCCCTTTAGGAAGGTGGTGGAATCTCAAGAAGCCTTATTGGAGGAATTAAGTCACTGGAGGTGGGTCTCGGTGTTTGTGGTGTTATTTTATTTGTGCTGAAATGTGGCGATATTTTATTTGTATGTTAACAAATAAAGTTTGCCTGAAGATCAGAGGTCATAAACAAAAGTCATGCAGTGGTGGCACATGCCCTTAATCCAATCACATGGCAGGCAGTCTCTGTGAGTTCAAGAACACAGCCAAGTGTGGTGACACATGCCTTTAATCCCAGTACCAACCATAGAGACCTGGAGGTCTGTATAGACAGGCAGTGATGAGGAAGTGTGGTGGCTGGGTTAAGAGCCAATGAGAAGGCAGAACGGCAAGACAATAAAGGTGCAGGTTAGACAGGAAGAAGCTGGTTCTCTTGGGAAGCTACAGCAACATGGTGAGCTAAGATTAGTTGGTGGCTATCACTCTGATCTCTACGGCTTTCACCCCTGTATTTGGCTCTGTGTTTCTTATTTAATAAGACTTTAGAAATTTGTCTACAGGTGTTCTGTAGCCTGGCCCTATGGCTTGTCCACTCTGCTTCCTGACTCTACATGTGATGTGACCTTGCTTCCTCCTCCTGCCACCACGCCTTTCTGGCCACTATGTACTGTATCCTCTTAAACTGTAAGCCAAAAAGAAATCTTCCTCTACTCACCAGGCATTTTGGTCATAGCAACAAGATGAGGTTTTTGCAGTGGCAATACTAGATGGAGGACAGAAGGGAGGAAGCCTTCTTTTTTTTTTCTCCTAGAGTAGAGTCTGGTTAAGTGAAACTAGCCTGAAGCCAAAAATGTCTGGCTTCCAATCTGATAGCCACAGACCAGCTGTGAGACCCTGTGCAAGGCTCTTATCTGTGCTCTATCTTCTATAGGGTCACTGGATCATAGTACTTACCTCACAATGATCTCAGGAAAAACCTAGATGATAAATAGGAATTGTTCCAGAAAGGGATGCCACATAGAATAGATACCCTGCATATGATAATTGAATTTTAAAATATTTTAGCTGCTTGAATTGCCCCTTGGGACATGTACTATTGGCAGAATGTCCAAGAATTGAATCTACTTTGATTTCCAGGTCAGAGACCCATGTGGACTAAGTAGACAGACTTAGTGGATAGATACATTTAATACGAAAGAGAATTAGAGGTGGTACCACATCCAGCCCATCGTTTGTCAGTTTCACAGATGAGCAAACAGGTTTAAGATCACAGTAAAAGTCAAATAGCTGATGAAAATACATATAAGTTTGCTAGTAATGGAGAAAGAAATTCTCTAGTAAAGGAATGGGGACAGAGGAGCAGCAGAGGGGCTGTGGTTTAAGAATGCTCTCTTCAAGCTGCGTAACTAGGAGCCAGGCTTTAGAACTGGCCTGGCTTGGGCTTCCTGAGTCCACATCCCAGGAATGTTTACTAACCTTTAAATTGAGCCTCGTTTTTTAACTCATATTATTGGCAGGAAGACCAAATGAGATGATGCAGGTAAAACATTTGGCATGATTTGGGCACACACTGATTCCAGTGTGAGCGAGCCTTCTATTTTTACTCTCATTATACCTCCTTTTGGGGATCTTTCAACATGTCAAGAACTACTCTTGAGAGAAATAAAAAAAAACATTCAAAAATTTAAGGCAGCAAGTGTCAGACCAAAGAA